CTTTCTGCCAAAGCTATTTGTTTTCGCAAATGAGCCCGAATCTGCTTGGCACCGTAAAGTCGCAACACAAACCACAATTTGAGGGACCGAAATCGTCTCCCCAAAGGAATTTGCCAATGCTATCACAGAATAAAATGAAAAATCACGAAACTAAAAATTAATTCTCTGAACTGAAATTGGCAAAGAATTTTAAAAACGTACCCGATAGTCCGGCACCAAACCTTGTTGGTCATGCTTGAGGTAGATCGGATCGACGTTGAAAGCATCAACGATTTCTGACGAGTTTTTCAGCCTATTATCCAAGTATTGCACGTGAAAAAAAAACAGTAATTCGTACCTCTTTTCGATAAAATTTCGAAATTCTTCTCACCATAAAGCCGAACAATCGAAAGTCACGAGCATCCATTTGTGCGGGTTGAAATTGAAAGAATCGGCGAACTCGACTCCATTCAGCAGATCTCTGTACTCCGGACAAATAAACGCAGCCCCTGAATAAATAATCAATCTTAAATCATCGATTCTTCAAAAATATTGAATTTAAAATGTGTGCTTCAAACCAGCATAAGCAGCATCGATATGCATGTAAAGTTCGTGTTTTTGAGCCACCGGTCCAATGGACAACAGGTCATCAAACGAGCAGCAATCTGTCGTCCCCAGCGTAGCACTGACCTGATTTCAAAACTCTCGATTATCAAATGATTTGGTTTGGAAAGTTTGCGAAAGCCTCACGTGGAAAGGAATCAATCCTTTTGCCAAATCTTCTTTCACTGCCTCGTCCAAACTGGAACCGTGCATTCTAAATTCGTCGTCAGAAGGAACCAGTCGCATTTTCACACCTGCAATCATTCCTGCTCGTTCCACGCTACAGTGAGCATTTTCTGTGAATTTGAAAACAATAAACAAAAACAATCGCCCGGATTAAATTGAATAACCCAACGCGCCTTCGATGCCAAATGTAGAGTAAACTCAAAAAAAATTAATAATTGAATGTGCCGGAGTTTGACCAGAAATTTTCGGAATAGCAAGTCCAATTTCCTCGCCAAGCTTTTTGCGGCTATAATCTAATCAAAAGCATTGCTGCGTGGATTATTATGCTCAATTCAATGGGAAAATCGCTCCGATTTCTCTCTTTCTTTTTTCGCCTTTCTATTTACATACATCGTATGTATTTTTAAAATCTGTCGTGCAAATGTATTTTTCTGCGCAGATCGATGCCAACTCACGAAGAAGCTTCTGATTTAGAATTTGTCGAATGGATCGGAACAATTTCAACGTCTGCAAAATGTTCTCAAGTAATATTTAAAAAAAACGTAGTCTTAAAGTTCGAAGGCAAATTTAGAGAAGGATTTCCTGAGCTTTTTTCATAAATTTTCTTGCTTTTGATTTTTGATGGGATGGTTCAGAAAACGAAAGCTACAATAATTCTGTTGCTACAGAATGCAGCTTTCGTGTCATTTTTCTTTATAAATTATGAGAGAAAAATATAAATTCCCAAATAATGAATAAATTATTCGAGGAAATCCAAATCAGAGAAAATACCAATTAGTAATGACAACCATCATGCTCAAAATCCAACATTTACTATAGACTACGCACTGGACAAGTTTTAATTTTCATGGAAAAAATACCATTTAAAGTCTTGGGATACAGTTCCAAGATTCCGCCATCATAAATTTATCACGAAAAGTGCCTCTCACTGTAAAAATTTAATTGTAAAACGAGCTTCCGTGAGTCGGAAAGGCTGGGAACTTCTGCGTTAGCAAACCCCTTTTTATTTTCTATTCTATTTTCGCAGTTTTTTTTTTTTTTTTTAACATCAGGGTGAGGTGAATAATGAGACATCAAATATCAAGGTTACCTGAGCAGTAAGCCACAAGTTTCCCGATGATGTCAATGTCAGTCAAATCCGGGTTCTCGGACTTTTTCCGTTTCACCATGC